TACACATGGATTGCCTTCCAACCTCAATAAAATTGAAAAAAAAAAAAAAAAAAAAAAAAAAAAAAAAAAGAAAAGAAAAGAAAAAGAAAGTACATATATTAGTCAGGGCTCTCTAAAGATCTGTTAGAATGTGTGAACAGGCATATATGTGGGATTTAGTAGAGTGCCTTACAGGCTGTGGTCCAGCTTGTCCAACAGTGGCTGTTTCCTAGAGGAAAGGCCAAGAATTTGCTAGTTCTTTAAATTCTCAAGGCTAGATGTCTCAGCAGCCCCAATCTGGTGCTGGAGTGGTGGAGAATTCCCAGAGCACTGAGTCAAGCCTGTGTCACAATCTTGAAGAAGTAGATTTTAATTCTAGGGAAGGAATGTCTTGGCAGCAAGATGGATGAACTTGCCAGCAAGAGTGAGGGCAAGCAGGCAAAAAGCAAAAGCTTCCCTCTTCCATGCCACAGAAGGTGTGGCCCAAATTTGGGGTGCATCTTCCAACTGCAAATGATCCAATCAAGAAATTGTCTCACAAGCATGCTCAGCTGCTTGGGTTTTAGTTGATTCCAGGTATAGTCAAGTTGACAACCAAGGTTAATCATCACAAGTCAATCTATTGTCAGCTTGACATACAATCACATCTTATGTCATGCTTAATTTCCAAATAAAAACAATAATAGGTCATAATTCTGTCTAACATGATATAACTCCCCATGTACAACCACAAATGCACTACATATTTTAGAATGGATGGCAATGTTCCTTGAGGAGTGCTTAGTCTTTTAGCATCTAATAACAATATGATGACCATTGATATTATCTCAGATGTATTATACAATGTGATAAAGAAATAGGGGAAAGAAAACACAAATATCTGCTTAATATATGTACAAAAATATTCTTAACAAAATAGGACAGAAACACTCATGCCAGTTACAATCCAGGCTCATCCAGGCTCTCAACAAACATGAGGACGTGGTTCATGTTTATGACAATATCGAATAACCAGACTGTGCCTGTCTCCAGGCTCTTTCCTAGGTTTCACGAGCTTGTGCAGCAATTTCGGAGACTGAAACAGATGGACACCTATCAGAGACCTGATGCCATGGCTTACAGCCTTAAGAAAAAGGGACTTTTAGCTTGGTTGGTATCACAGGGCCACCTGGGATACAAGGTGAGACTAGCCAGCTGGTCTGACTCTGATCCCAGGTTACTGGCCCTTGTCAAGATTCTAAGTGTCTTGTACTATAGAGTGGAAATTGATCATCAATAATAACAGTAGTGATTGATTATTCTTGAAAAAAAAACATTCTTAACAAAATAGGACAGAAATACTCATACCAATTACAATCCTCACGCCTACAACTGGTCATGTGACCTTAGCTGGTATTTATAATTACCTTCTTCTACTCCCATTCTGAACTTCCTCCACCCTTAGCAAGCACCTCAGTAGTTCTTGGTTCTTTCCTTTAGGAGTGACCCATACCTTCATTCCTGAAGGGTCTGTGTCCTTTGTCATCCTGCCTTGATTAGGGTGTTTTAGTTTCCTGTTGACTTTAATCACAGGGCATAGTAGCACCAAGAGACACACTAAAAGATCTCCTGCAGCCCAGACATAATCTTTCTTACCTCCATGTGGAGAAGCAATCTAATTTCCCCCTGGTAGTCTGGGGGGATCAATCACCCCTCCTAACACTGTCACTTCATTCTTAAGGGCATCAGAAGCCCTAAGTGGGGAAGTCTGAGTCAATGGAATGTTTGCCTGTCTCCTAGCAGGAATGCGCCTTACTCTCCCATCCCCCACCCCCATCTGGAACTAATACTTCTAGGCTAACAGAACTTAAAGGCACAGGAACAAAAAGCAAAGACTTTCCAAGTGGGTCACTAGGGGTGATAGAGAATGGAATCATTCCTATTTCTACCCCTTGATTCCTGGACCCACAAATCCTGACTATGGACACTGAATCAAAGCATACACTGCCTGTCTTAGCCCTCCAGGCTGCTGCCATCTAATTGGAACTGTACCTGTGTCTTCAAAAGGACATTCCATCTTTCCTATCAAGCCAGGCGCTGTAGGATGGTGGGGAATATAGTAAGATAAGTAGATTCCATGAACATTGGCCCACTGTTGTGCTTCTCTGGCTGTGAAGTGAGTTCTTGATCAGAGATAATGCTGTGTGGAATACTATGATGGTGAATGAGGCATTTTGTAAGTTCATGGATGGTAATTTTGGCAGAAGCACCAGGAAAGACAAATCCATAACCAGGAAGGACAAACCATTGCTCTTTCCATGAAGAAAGTGGTCCAATGTAGTCAACCTTCCACCAGGCTGCTGACTGGTCACCACTGGGAATGGTGCCATATGAGGGGCTCAGTGTTGGTCTCTGCTGCTGGCAGATCAGACATTCAGCAGGAGCTGTAGCCAGGTCAGCCTTGACAAGTGGAAGTCCATGGCCACTTTATTCATGAGCCCATTGAGCAATGACAGAGATGTCTGTGGAAAGAGGGTGACTGTCCACAGAATGGGTCATCCTATCTACTTGATTATTGAACTCCTCAGCTGAAGTCGTCTTTGATGAGCATTTACATGGGACACAAGTATCTCCACATCCTTCGCCCATTTGGAGAATTTATCCGTATCTTCCCCAGATGTCTTTCTCACCAATTTTCCAATCATGTTCTTTCCAAGCCCCTGACCATCCAGCCAATCCATGGGCTATAGCCATGACTCAGTGAAGAATCATACGTCTAGCAATTTCTTCTTCCAAACAAAATGTACAACAATGTGTACTACTCAAAGTTCTTCCCACAATGAAGACGTACCTTCACCCATGTCTTTCAGTGTTGTCCCAGAAAGGGGTTGTAATGCGGTAGCTGTCCACTTCTGGGTGGTGCTTGCATAATGTGCAGAACCACCATTATATCAAGCCCTAGTCAACTGATCATAGGGCACACCCTATCAGGCTATAGGTCTATGTTTGGGAGCAGAAGGCATTGTAACAGGAATAGAAACCTGGGGCATCTGGGAAACTTCTTCAAGTGACTTGCTTGTGCCTTTGGGACCTGCTCAGGCTTGATCACATATATACCACTTTCATTTGATAATGCATTGCTGCTCTATGACTTGGTGGATCAAGAAATACCCAGCTCAAACAGAGAATTCTGAAAAGAAGAATCACAAATGGCTGAAAGACATTTAAAGAAATGCTCACATCCTTAATCATCAGAGAAATGCAAATCAAAATGTCTCTGAGATACCACCTTACACCTGTCAGAATGGCTATGATCAAAAACACCAATGACAACCAATGTTGGAGAGGATGTAGAGCAAAGGGAACACTCCTCCACTGTTGGTGGGAGTGAAAACTTGTACAACCACTATGGAAATCAGTATGGCGGTTTCTCAGAAAATTGGGAATCGATCTACCTCAAGACCCAGCCACACCACTCTTGGGCATATACCCAAGGAATGCTGATTCATACCATAAAGATATATGCTCAGCTATATCTTGGTTGGATTTGGTTGGATTTATTTCCCATCCTCTGATGCTATGTTCATAGCAGCACTATTTGTAATAGCCAGAACCTGGAAACAACCTGGATGCCTGTCAATGGAAGAATGGATGAAAAGAAATGTGGTACATATACACAATGGAGTACTACTCAGCAGAGAAAAACAATGAAAGCATGAAATTTGCAGGCAAATGGATGGAACTAGAAAATATCATCCTGAGTGAGGTACCCAAACCCAGAAGGACAAACATGGTATGTACTCACTCATAAGTGGATTCTAGATATAAAGCAAAGAATGACCAGACTGCAACTCACAGAACCAGGGAGGCTACATAGCAGGGGGACCCTAGGATGACTGTGGCTTATAATAAGTTTTGGTTTTACTCAATTACTGGGCATGCTTTAGTGAAACATTTCACTATTAGGATAAGAATTTATACTGTATCAAGCTGATAATAGAAAAATAAATTAAAAAATGGTTTTCTATTAAAAAAATAATGGAGCTGGAGAGATGGTTCAGAGGTTAAGGACACCAACTGCTCTTCCAGAGGTCCTGAGTTCAATTCCCAGCATCCACATGGTGGCTCACAACCATCTGTAATGAGATCTGGCACTCTCTTTCGTATACATAATAAATAAATAAATCTTAAAAAAATAAAAAAAAAGATATATCCAGAAATAGGCAGCTCAGGTCAATGGTAACTTGGCGGCCCATTGTCAAATGTTTAGTTTCTCCTAAGGGCTGTCTCTCAAAAGGAGAATAGTTGTCTATAGATGATGGTAGAGCATTGCTCCAAAATCCAAAGATCTCTGTGATTCAGAGGCTTGCCAAAGGCTCCAAATAACATCCCTATTTGCCAATGACACCGAAAGCACCATAGGGTCTGCTGGATCACATGGTCTAAGTGGTA